CAGAGAGTTAAGCTCGTCGGAAGAAACCCCTGTCTCGCTGCTGTTTTGGACCAAGCCGATAAGCTCTTAATAATGGGAAGGACGGTGCACTTCCAGCCCGATTCAGTTTCTGGGGCCTTCAAGATAATTAGAGACATTTGAGTGCCCTTTCCAGAACATCCAAGATCATTCAATTCGGAGGTATGAGCAGGAAGATAAAGTCTCCGAAATGGACACATGTATAGACGTCTCTCTCTGTTCGTGTAAATTCACTGCAAAGATGCACCCTCCAGGAAGCCTTCCATTTTCCAAGAACCGAAACTTCCATCACCAACGTTGGAGATAAATGAGTCTTCTGTATTCTGCAACCGGAATCACGCAATTCGGACAAGTATCGTAGAAGTTACACTCTCCGGAATGCAAAGTGGTCCAAGCTGCTCTGAATGCTGCGAGATGGTCTTGCGACTTGGTTAACCCGCAGGCCTGAAGATGAATGCCTGAAAGCTGATGCTGCGAGTTGAGAAATGCGGGTAAGCTATCAATGGATGAGGTCTGAGGCTCCTGAGTAAGAGAAATGCTAAGTCCACAATCGTGCAACTTAGGCATGTGAGTTAGCCGCGCCTGGAACTAAGCCGCACGATCACTCGCAAATCACTCCGACTTGAGCCTGCGACCTATGTGCAATGGAAACCAACCCACACATATGCACATTCCCCAGAAACCGCCTTGGTCCTGCGAGTTGAAGAAGATGAAGATCAAGCCGCAGCAACACTCGCAAAACACTCCTACTTGGGTGTGCGGCTAAGACAAGACTATTTAAGTCTCACAAGACAGGTTCTTCATCTACTGCGACTTAGTCATGCTACCTGGGAGACACTGGACCAACCGGCAGGATTCCCACTTTATCCATTAAAGCCGAGTCAGGACCCGGTTTGTTCCGGGCTGACCCGGTTCGTTTTTAGAGAGATATAAATACTTTTTAGGGTTTTTTGTGAGAAAACTAAGTTTTATTCCCTTTGTCTCTTGCCTCTTTTGTGAAAGACTGGATTAAGAAGAGAAATATCTATATTTGAGTGTTTAATCAAGAGAGTCTTAAGAGATCTTGGTGTTTAAAGCTGTTTTCTTTTGAATCTATCATCTCCATCTCCATTTCTCATCATTAATCATGCCAATTTTCTCTACTTGCAAAGGTTTAAGAGAGATTAGTATGATTAGTGAGTAGTCACCTTAATGAGGTTCTAGATGTGTAGGTTAGGGTGCTAAAGTGTTAGATTAGGAGTGCTTAGGGCTAGATTCATTGATTCATCTCTCTAAACAGCTGTTCTCTGTGCTAGATCCTTGCATATCACTTGAGATCTAGATTCTTGGAATTTCATGCACCAAAAGTGTTTGATGAAATTCCTGAAAGAGCTGTATTAGAGGTTTAAGCATTTTCTGCATGATGATGTATTGTTATTTGCTTGAATGATCATTAAGAACTGTTTATTAATGCATATTGATTCATATTTCACAAATGGGAATTTGGTTTGAAAATGGATTAGTATAGGGGTTAATACCTTCATGAGAGGATTAACCTAGATTAGAGTTCTTAGTCATTTGAATCATGTCTCATCATTGTCATTAGCATTTCTAGTTTAGCACCAAAGCACCCTAACCAACTATCATGTCTAGAATCTCATGCCTCCATCATATCATATTCATATCATTTGTCATTGTCATTAGTCTTTAATCCTGTTTAAGTTTGTAGTTGTCTTTAGATAATCAAAACCACTCTTGTTGCTTGAATTAAGAACCTGATTACATAGCTTAGTGTCTATCACCACATTCTTGGATTGATAAACCCCTTGTACTACAAGACAGGGGATTGATAACCTCTACAAAGAGCCTTGAAAACTCTTAGTTATCATGACCCGGCTTTAATGTGTAAAATCTCGAGTGTGTGAGTTGGTCTGGAGCTTCCCATATCGCATGCCCAAGTCGCACAGCCATAGAAACAGTCTTGTGAGCCTTAAGTCCTTTAGTCTCAGCCGCATATGTGTGTAAACAGCAAGTCTTTATGTGATTCAGTCTTTCTTCTCTTCAACTCGCATGACCAAGACGAAATCTGGGGAGAATATGTGTGCGAGTTAGTCCTCCTTTAGTCCCAAGTCGCATGCCCAACTCGCACACGTCTAGAAAGAAGCTTCAGCGAGATAAAACCATGTAAGCCAGACCGCATTCCTCTCTCGGTGTAAACCGTGAGTCTTCATGCGGTTCAGTTCCCTTTGCTCCCTAGCTCGCACAACCATGTAGGTCAGGACTTCAAATATGTGTGCGAGTTGGTCTACTTCACTCCCAAGTCGCATGCCCAACTCGGTGTAAACAGCAAGTGTTCCTGCGATTCAGTTCACTACTCGGCCAACTCGCATTCTCAAGTCGCACATTTGTGGACTTAGAATTTTTCCTGCTCGGGAGCCTTTGACCTCATCCAGGGTTACCCTGCCCACACATCTCCACACGCAGCTCAATTCCCAGAAATTATCCTTTAAGCGCTGCGAGTTATCTAAGTCGCAAAACCATCTCTCAGACTTCAAATCTCCTCGGACCAATTCGCATTCGGGGGAGCGTAACTTCCAGGATATGGATCCAAATGGCTTGATTCCAGCTGCAGTGGAAACAGAAATCAAATATCGTGAACTTTGGGAAGTGGAAGGTTCCCTGGACGGCTCATCTCTGTAGTTCACTGAAACGATCAAAAGGAAGCTCTTGGACCAGTGTTAACTCCGGAGACAATATCTTTCAGCACATAGCACCAAACTGGATGAACTTAGATGTTCTGGAAATAGTACTCAAAGATATCGAATCTTGATAAAGACCCCGGCAACTGAATCAGAATAGAAAGGCATCATCCCACGCACTTTGTGACTCATCAGACCAGTCTTGAAACTGTAGCGATACAGGTGTGCCTTCCGGTGAGCTTAACTCTCTGCTCACGACTCCAAATCCAATGATTCTACCTGTTATGGATCCTTGACCTGATCATCTCCAAGTTTTCTGAAGACCCTGTAATCTGAATCGGACGTTAAAACTCTCCGGACAGGAGATCTTTCCAAACGTATGGGATTGCTCTGGAACGGATACGAGAAAGGTCTGTCTTCGCGTGGCCGTATCTTCCAGCTCGAAGCTCCAAATCTATAGATTCTAACTGTTATGAAATCTAGACTCAATTATCTTGATCTTTGCTGAAGACCCCGGAGACTGAATCGGCCGGCAAGACCTTCCGGTAACGCGATCTTGGAGATGTATCTGCATCCAGGAAATTTGGCCGAGAAACTTGAACAGCCAGTACGTGTTTAAGCCGAGAAATCCACCCGCGGTGCATGAAAATCGCCGAGAAAAAGCTTCCCGCGGTACAGGCTAGCGCGGAGAACCTCCAAAAGGCTGATTTCACCATTTTCAAAGCCCCAATCACCAATTATTCTTCTGGCTTCATCTTTTCAGGTCCAAACTGCTTCCAAATCACTTGTAAACACTCCAAAACATGCAAGACTCACTTGGACCGAATGCAAACCCCTAAGTCCTAAAACAACACCTAAAGACCTAAAATGCATGAAATAAGATATGATTTGGAATGAAATATACAACCTAAATGATGCAAATTATGAACATATCATTAAACGGCAGCACAAGATCTCCCTCCTTGAAGTCCCTCTTCATTATTCTCGGATCATGTAAGGTCTTGGTCTTCTCCTTATGGATCCTTGAGCTTTCAGAGGCATCAAGCCTAATCTCTTCTAGCTCATGAAGTTGAAGGAGCCTTTTCTCTCGAGAATTCTTTATGTCAGAGTTCAAAAGCTTAACTGCCCATAATGCCTTGTATTCAAGTTCCACAGGCAAATGGCAGCTTTCCCATAAAGGAGATTAAATGGAGAAGTTCCAACGGGAGTTTTAAAAGATGTCCTGTAAGCCCACAATGCATCATCTAATTTTTTGGACCAGTCTTTCCTTAATGAGCTCACTGTCCTCTCTAAAATGGCTTTGATCTGTCTTTTTGAAACCTGCACTTCACCGCTTGTCTGAGGATGATAAGCGATGGCTATCTTATTTATAAAATGACTGCCTCCATCACTAATGACAACCCTGGGTACTCCAAACCTTGGGAAAATGATGGTTTTAAACAACTTCACCACCACCTTGGCATCATTAGTTGGACTTGCCACAGCTTCAATCCATTTTGAGACATATTCAACTGCTATGAAAAGCCCCATAAAGTCTATACCCCAGAAATCAAAGATCTCCACCTCCCAAATCGGATTCTGAGGCATTTCATTTATTTTGGAGAGATTTCCAGCTCTTTGGCAGACATCACACCTGATCACAACTTCCTGAGCGTCCTTGAACATGCTTGGCCACCAGAATCCTGATTGTAAGACCTTTGCCACAGTTTTAAAAGCAGCATTGTGGCCACCATAAGCAAATCCATGGCACTCCAACAAAATCCCTGGAATCTCTTCTTCAGCTACACACCTTCTGTACAAATGATCCTTGTTAAGCACAAACAAGTATGGCTCATCCCAAAAGAACCTCTTGATGTCCTTGAAGAACTTCTTCCTCTGGTAGTTACTCATCTCAGGAGGTTCAACTCCACATGAAAGATATTCACAATATCAGCAAACCATCGCAAACCTCTTTCCTTGATGGACTTGACCCCCCCCCCCCAAGCTCATTCAAAGCTTTCACCATCATAAGATGTTCTTTGGAAGTGAATCATCAAGTATGATCCCATCCTCACCTCTTAACCTGGACAAATGATCAGCAACTCCATTTTCAATCCCCTTCTTGTCTTTAATCTCCATGTCAAATTCCTGAAGAAAAAGGACCCCTCTCAGCAACCTTGGCTTTGCATCTTTTTTTGCCATCAGGTATGTAAGAGCTGCATGATCTGTGTAAACCACCACTTTAGACTCCACCAGATAAGATCTAAACTTGTCAAAGGCAACGACAATTGCCAACATCTCCTTCTCAGTGGTGGCATACTTCTCTTAAGCTTTGTCCAATGTCCTACTGGCATAGTACATGACATGAAGCTTCTTATCCTTCTTCTGATCCAAGACAGCACCAACAGCAAAATCACTGGCATCTGTCATGATTTCAAATGGCAAACTCCAGTCTGGTGCTTGAACAATGAAGGCTGAGATAAAAGCTTTCTTGATCGTGGTGAAGGCATATTCACATTCCTTATCAAACAAAAACTCAACCTCCTTGCATAGAAGTCTTGTCAGCGGCCTTACAATCTTTGAAAAGTTCCTGATGAACCTCCTATAGAACCCTGCATGGCCTAGAAAGCTTCTCAGCTCTTTGAATGAACTTGGTGCTTGCAGATTCACCATAACCTCAACTTTTGCCTTGTCCACTTCAATGCCAGCCTCTGAGATCTTGTGTCCCAGCACAATGCCCTCCTTCACCATGAAGTGGCATTTTTCCCAATTCATCACTAAGTTGGACTCCTCACACCTTTGCTTTACCTGACATAGATTAGACAAACATGAAGAAAAAGAGGGTCCATAGACACTGAAATCATCCATGAACACCTCCACGTTCTCTTCTATTAGATCAGCAAATATTGAAAGCATGCACCTCTAGTAGGTGGCAGGAGCATTACACAGCCAAAAGGGCATTCTTCTGTAGGCAAATGTGCCATAAGGGCAAATAAAATATGTTTTTTCCTGATCATTTGGGTATATAGGAATCTGAAAGAAACCTGAGTACCTATCAAGGAAACAATAGTATGGGTGATTTGCCAGCCTCTCTAACATTTTATCTACGAAGGACAAAGGAAAATGGTCCTTCCTAAAGGTAGCACTAAGCTTCCTATAGTCAATACACATCCTATGCCCTGTCACAGTCCTGGTGGGGATTAGCTCATCTTTCTCATTCCTAACTACTGTCATGCTGATAATACCATATTTGTATCCATTTTCACCATTGATTTCAAATGCTTTTTCGAAGGTTTTAATCATTTTTAGAAACTTTTATCATGATTTCTCTATGTTTGTAGTTTCAATACTCTTTTCAGGAAACTTAAGGAAAAAGATGGTAAAATGGAAGAAATCCACATTTTTAGCTCAGAGTCAGACCGTCAGAAGTTCAGCCTCAAATGAAGACTTTCTCACCATCCGATCCAGCTCAAATTTGGAGACATTCAAGAGGAGACAACATAGCACTTTACAGCTGGACAATCTAACGGTGCAGTCAAAATATATATGAAGAGCAAGTTAACCAAATTCACCAGTACCGGAAGGCTCTCACCTGCGGCAAACAAGTGTTTTACCTGCCCCGGAGACTCTCACCCCCGATGGACCTATGCGGAGCCACAAGGCCCAACATCAAAGCCCATTTCGTCTTTTCTCTGCAGAGAAGCCCTAAATGAGATGTGGAAGACCTTAGGACCTATAAATATATTTCTTAGCAGCTTTAATTGGGTGTGTGCTCCTGTAATGAGTTTTTGAGCCGCCAAACTCTGTTTTCTTAGGGTTAGACGATTGAGAAGGGGATTTTTTCGTGGATCCATTGTTCTTTCTCCTTTTTAACTAATTAGCTTTTCTAATTCATCTTATGCATTCTTTCATGTCTTTTATCATTCCCTGCATCATGTAGATTTGTGCCAGAGAGTCAAGTTTCTAAAGAGTCATCGATAGGTATACATGTTCGATTTGGATTTCTAAGTTTCTAAACAATATTCTGGATCTCATCTCTTCTAAGTTGTTCATACTGCATGAGAATAGATTCATGACCTATTCTCTGAGCCTATGATCGATCAGAGCCACAAGAGTAATGTATCAGATCATCCATACCTAGCTTCAGAAAAACATAGTAGCTACAATAGTCGAGAGCTACCTGTAGAGAAGATGTGAGCAAACAAATTCAGTAGTAAATGCATGATCTTATTCCTGGCATGAGAGCGAGAGTTAACTGTCTGATTTAAGTGATTAGTTGGTTAAGATGACGAGGGTGGGTTAATCATACACATGTCTATTCCAGTTCCATGCAGATCCCAATAATAGATAAGGATAAATCGCCCGAAAGCTAATTGGAAAATGCTTTGACATCGATTAGAGTAAACCAGAGAAGTGTAAATCGCCTACTATTAGTCTAGAGTTCTTAGTTTGAGTCGAACACCTTTCAATTATTTCTTTAGAAACTCATTTGCATTGCATTTAGTTTCTCATAAATACTAGATTAGGGTTAGTTTAGGATCCCGTAACCAAAAACTCCAAACCCCCATGAGTTTATGACTTTGCTTACTCTCCCAGTTTGGTGTTTCCTTGCAGATTAGACATCTTCCATGTGGATCAACACCATAAGTCCTACAACGTACATCTGTGCACTTTCAGACATTAGAGTTTTATAAATTTAAAACTTCGGACAACCCGACTAGCAAAACACCTGCGACCCTCATGTCCATCAAAGTTTTTGGCGCCGTTGCCGAGGAATTCTTAGCCGCTGGAGGGTAAAACAGAGAAGGTTCAACCGCAGAAAGGTATATATGTCGAGTTTCTGCCAAAACGACAAAGGAAGTAAACCGAACTCATAAACACCTAACTTTTTTCTGCTTATTCTTTCTTCTGCTTGCCCTAGTTTCAGATTCTTTGAAGCATGGATCATCCAAGAAGAAACCCTAATCCCGAGCAAAGGTTTTGCAACCTGTTTTAAGCTCCCTGTGCATGTGAATCACCATTCAGGTGTGATTCCAACCACCTAGATCGGACCCTTCATCAAAACCACCACCTTGGAGGCTCGTGAACTCCAGCCCACCATGATGAACCCTATTTGCCACCCCTGGTGAATCGACGACCATCTCATCCCCTGCTTCCTCATATTCTGCACCAGAACTTTGAGAAATCAATTTAACATCCAGCTTAATCGATTGGAAGCCAAACTGAACCAGTTCCTTGATTCCCAAGCCTTCGTTGAAGCTGCCCTGCGAACAAGGATAGATGCCATCACCATCGACCTTAATAAGAGGTTTGATGACCTCTCTGAGCACGTGAAGACACTGGAGGATTAGAGAACCAAAGACAATGAAGTGTTGAATCAGAGAATGGAGTTTGTCGAAGAAGAGGAAGGGAAGAACAAGTTTAACATTCGACAATGTGAAAAGGAGCTGCAAACCCTAAATTTCAAGATCGATGACTTGGATAAGGAGCTGAATGAGAGCCAGAACCAAACCTACGACTACACATTGGAGCTGTGGCAAGGTGTAGCTAAGGTTGAAAACAAGACGGAATAGCTTGATGCTACTTTAGAAGAGAAAGTTGAAAAACTTTCTAAAGATATAAAGGAGAATGATCTGAACACTGGAACCAAAGATTTGGATACCCAAGACGTGCCAGACAACTGGAAGCAAGAGAATAACAAATGAGAAGAAGGGAATGAAGAAACAAGCATGGTAAGCCCGAGGGAGCTGACCGCAGATGCAAGAACTTCACCCGCGGCCAGGCTCACTTCCACCACGTCCTGATCACTTCACCCACGGTAGAGCGTGATTTTTCAGACTGGGAGTCCTTTCAACCTCTTTCTGAAACATGTTCAACTGAAAACCAACCCCTTGTGACCCGATCTAGGTTGTTTGATTAAGCTGCCTTCTCAATCACTGCACAATCATCAAAATAAAAGGACGAATCCAACACTCATGTAACTTGCAACATGGTGTACACTTGTGACAATGAGATTCAAGAGTTCTTCTCAGAAGATGAAGAGTATGGATTGTTTGTTAAAGATGCAAACCCTGGAGACAATTCATCTAGTAGCAACTCAGAACCAATAACCAAGAGTATATTGATAAGTAAGAGTTTTCAGCTCTTAGTGGGTTATCAATCCCTTAATCATGTAATATATAGGGTGTCAAACCAAAAGGGTGAGTTCAGACACTAGTTCATGTAAGCTTTTACCTAATTCAAGCCAAATAGACAGATTTTGGTGTTCAAAAAAGTGAGAAAGCTAAACAAGTAAACTAAAAACAAGACTAAACAATGCTAAGTAAGCAAAGCAAGATCACTAAATAAGATGATGAATATGAGATGATGAAGAATAGAGCTATAGATATGATAGGTGGCTAGGGTGCTTTCAGGATCTAACTAAGTAGCTAATGACAATGATGATTAATGATCTAAGAAGCTTATGATTCAACACAAGTTTCAATCTTTCTCAAGCATCAAAACACAATCTCAAACATTCTTGTGTACCCAATCATCATTAGAGAAACAAACGAAATAGATGCTTTAAAAACCAATCATGATATACCATCTATGCTCAATAAAACACTTCCATGTAAATCAAACAGTATACTCTTGATCTAGCTTGGTTCAGACATGATAACTAAGAGTTTTCAAGACTCTTTGTAGAGGTTATCAATCCCCTGTCTTGTAGTACAAGGGGTTTATCAATCCAAGAATGTGGTGATAGACACTAAACTATGTGATCAAGTTCTTAATTCAAACAAACAAGAGTGGTTTGGTTAACTAGAGACAACTACAAACTTAAACAGGATTAAAGACTAATGAAATGATTAAACAAGAACTAAACAAATGAAAAGTGATGAGAATGTGTGTATGATGATGAGAAAGGTCTTAGACATGATAGTGGATTAGGGTGCCTTCAGTGATATACTAATGAGCTAATGAATCATATGATCAAGCAAACCATTCAACATAAACATCTTTAATTAAGTTAATCCTCTCATGAAGGTATTAAATCCTATGCTAAAACAGTTTCTAACCCAATCATCATCAGTGAAACATGAGTTAACAAGCATTAAGAATCAGTTTAATCTGTCATTTAAGCATATAGACAATCATTCCCATGATGAATAACACTTAAATCTCTAACAACCTTGTTTCAGGCATTTCATCAAACACTTTTGGTGCATGAAATGCCCAGAATCCAGACCACATATGATTTGTATGGATCTAGCATGGAGAACAAGTTGTAGAGAATGGAATATGCATGATCTAACCCCTAAGCTCACTAATCTACCACTTAAGCACCCTAATCTACATATCTAAGACCTTAATATGGAGATTATTCACTAATCATGATCAACACACTAGATCCTTTGCAAGATGTGTTGTTAATCATGATTAGAAGTGTATAGATGAAGAGATAGATGATAGATTCAGAAGAAAACAGCTTTAAACACAAAGATCTCTTAAACTCTCTTGATTAAACACTCAATAATCGATATTTCTCTTCTTAGTGGAGTCTTTTTCACCAAAGAGGCAAGAGACAAAAGGAATAAAGCTTAGTTCTTTAGGAAAAAACCCTAAAAAGTATTTATATCTCTCTAAAAACGAACCGGGTCAGCCCGGAACAAACCGGATCCTGACCGGGCTTTAGTGGGTAAAGTGGAAATCCTGCGGGTTGGTCCAGTGTCTCCCAGGTAGCATGCCCAAGTCGCAGTAGATGAAGAACTTGTCTTGTGAGACTTAAATCGCTTTGTCTTAGCCGCACGCCCAAGTAGGAGTGTTTTGGGAGTCTTGCTGCGGCTTAATCTTCTTCTTCTTCAACTCGCAGGACCAAGGCTGTTTCTGGGGAATGTACAAACCGTGCGGGTTGGTCTCCATTACACACAGGTCGCAGGCTCAAGTCGGATTCACACCGGAGAGCACATCTGGATGAAGCTACTCGGTGTGGGGTCTTTTTCTTTCTGCAGAAGATTGCACCTGGATGCTTTTGGCCGTTGTTGCCCTAGGTGTAGAAAACGAGTGAAGATTACACCAGGTAAAGCATCGGCGTGGGTTTGATCGGTGTGGACAGTGAAGAGGATTGGTACAAGCACCGGGATGCATTATCTCAGTGCGAACCTTGTGTCAGGTTCAGTGTAAAAAGATCCTCAAAGTAAGTACAACACCGAGGTCAATATTCCCGGTGTTCATCTTGGTGCCGAGAACCT